GCGAAGCGGGGCAGGTAGACGGGTGGTGGTCTCGTGAGTAAAGGGCACTAGGGAAAGTTGGCGGGCGACTTCCTCGTGGACGAAGGCTCGGACTTGCTGAAGCAATGGTGAATTGTCGGGCATGGAGTCGAAACTGGAGAGCGACTCACCACCAGGCTGAGGCTGCCTAGTCAGAGTGCGTTGCTTCTTCAACTCGTCGTAGCTCTGACACAAGCTGACGACTTCAGAAACTGTGCTTGGATTCCTTGCCAAGAGCATTTGAAATGCGCCGTCGTCGATGCCCTTCAGGATGTTTTTGACCTTGTCAGATTCGGGCATGGTGTCATTCACACGTCGACAAAGGTCGACGACGTCCTCAATATAGCTGGTAAAGGTCTCGCCAGTCTGCTGAGAGCGGACGCGCAAGCGCTGTTCTGCCCTCTGCTTGCGGACAGCCGGCCGACCGAACACTTCAGCACATGACGTCTTGAAGACGCTCCATGTGGGGATGTTGTGTTTGTGGTTATTAAACCACAATTCGGCAACGCCAGTGAGATAAAATATCACGTGGCCCAGCTTGTCGGCTTCATCCCACTTATTGTTGGCGCTCACCAGTTCGTAGTACTCGAGCCAGTCTTCGACGTCGGTCCCATCCGCACCGCTGAAGACCTTCGGCTCCCGTAGCGTAGGATGGCCAGGGCAGTTGAACTGGAGCGAAGGCGTTGATGTAGTGGCGTTGCCAGTCATGACAGGTGGTAGCGTGCGACTTCGCAGCTCCAGGGTGTAGCAACGGTGATTAACAGCACCTTCCACCAAATGTGAAGAGGTTTATTAGCCGTTAAAGACAGCGACGAGACAGCGTGAAGAACCGTCCAGCGATCGGCACAGCAACAAACCGAAGCATGAGCCGAGAGAGCCGGGCGTTGGCGATGCTGCTCGCTGCAGGCACATCTTCTTCTTCACAAATGGAATGTTACTCCTGGGGCCTGGAGACCATTGGCTATTCTTGGGATCTATTTCGCACTGTTTTACGAGTTGTTACAACATTAGCACTCAGCTCTATGTATCGGTGCCTTCGTTTTCAGTTGTTCTCATATTGTGAAAACCATGTAAAATGAGGAGTACATTCTAAAATGACAGTCGTGCTCAGTACGAGCTGAACCACACGTAACCACAGTAACCATTTTCTTAGCCGATATCATCGTAGGGCAAAACAAGCCGCAGTGTGTAGGCAAGTGGGAGCGATGTGCACTCGCAAGAACAGCCAAAACCTCCCCTGACAGCTTAATTGGCACCACAGCACCTGTGCTTGAACGTAAGGTGAATCATATGCACAAACGGGTCCACTGTTAAAAAGAACACTTGCGTGTAGTGCCTGTCCAAATTTTGTTCCCTTGAAAAAGCATAAGGACTTGGATTTGCACAAACTACTGGTGGCTGAAAGTTTTGTCTCCTCTTAACAGACCAGAGCTGTGCACAAACGTTTCCACGTGCACTTACAGTTACAGAGCTAGCAACATAAAACATGCTCCTTCGAGCGTTCCTTTTAACAACGGACTGTACTGTGCACCTGGTCACTGAGATATGCCAGCCTACTAGATATCATATTAACAACTAATGAATGTGGGGGGACCTACTCAAAGGTGCAGAGCAGAGCTGTGCAGCATGAACAAGATTATGGTCACATTACTGGCAGCCCTATCTTTCGGATTCAAATACCTAACTTGCTTTTGCAGCTTCGGTTGCTAAAGTGTTCACTGTCACAATAACATGAAGTAAAATCTTCATTTAGGTGGCTATGCTGAGAGCTGTTTGTTTCAAGCGCTGCATCTCAAATGTTATTGGACAGTCATGTGCCTGCAGCAAAGCAACGTTAAAAAGGAAGAGTATAATAAGCTGAATAATTAAATCATGCTTATGATTTATGAACGGGCCATTCCAACCATGATCTGGACTTCAGAAAGCCAGTGGAAAGACATCAAATAGATTGTAATGACAGCTGCAAATTTGCACATGAACTCGTTATACTGTAAATTTATATGGCATCGACGCGGACCTATTTGGGGTTTATAAATGGCACACGGTAAACCTTTCAAACAAGGTAAGTAAGCTAACTAGTTTGATAGACAAAACTGCACTGAGGACATGCAGAAAGATGAAATTCTTCTAAATGTATCTGCAATGCAACTTTGATCGGAATGCTGCACTGCCCTTTCCCTAGCATTACTTCTTTTCTTTGAGCTTAGTGAGTATCAGACAAAACGGCTGCTGGGTGATTCTCTGTAAATGACGTGCAAAGCTGGGAAAACATCATTGCTGACAAGCCGTAGCTCTTATTCAGTAGGAAAGGCAAATGCTACTGTATACATAGTGTGCACGTGCGTCACCCAGCGCCCCTTCGTCACTTCCGAAATGCACCACCAACATGCCCGGGTACCTACTGACTATGTCAACTACCACTGCCGTGTTGTCTCCTCATGCTTGCGCCCTTTTAGTTTTGCCTCACAATGCAAGGTTGAGGGCTGCTAGTGAGGCAAGTTGATTTAATAGTCCCCGAAGAGGGAGCAGAGCTTCAGGGCATTTCTTCACCGAAAGTTATTACCTAAAAGCGAGAATGCACATTGCGATTTCCCGAAAAGTCCCGGCGCGTTTGGCTGGCGCGGACTAATAAAAAAACTACTTGAAGAAACTCAGTGATATTTGCGTCTTCAGGTGAAACTTCATTCTGGGTAATTGCCATAGCCAAGCACTTACCTGCAAAAAGAGATAGCTTACCAAGGTACTGTACATACAAACTTGTCCGCGACCACTGCGTGCACAATCAGCGTGTCAGGGAGGCGGTTAAAATCGTGATGGCGATCGCGGAAATTCGGGTATTGCATTGAAACAAGCTGTGAAAATGGATGCGAAACAATATTAGTTCGCTTTGAAATATAGCCGATCGGTTCAAGTTGAAGGGTCAGGATTTTGAAAAATTGGTCAATTAATTCCCTAACATGGTCTTCATCATATTCAGGGACTCCACTGTACATTAGCCTATAAAAAAAAGTAAAATACAAGGTGAAAAAAATGTCAAAACATGTGCAAAAAAAGGTGATGACCAGCATTACTCCGGCACGCACCACGCGAAGTCTCTATCTGCCTCGCATAATGCTTTTCTCGGCTGTTTTCACAAATTTCAATCAAAGAGGCTCAACATCAGCACTGTTTAAAACACTTGGGGGGGGGGGGGGAGCTGCTACTTTGATGGCCTGGGCCGCAGCAATATATTAATATTAATATATCTTGTAAACTTGCCTAGCTCTGCACGACTCGTTTTCGATGGGAGCTGCTGCGCTTCGCTCATCCATTCTTAAAATTGCCGCGCGAGAGACTTTGGGCTTTCACTTGTTCTTAGGGCCATGCAATTTGTAGTGTTTGTAGTGAAAATAATGGGCCCTCGTAGGTCGTGGCCGGGCAGGGCAGCCGGTGTACCTGGTGGTTGGTATACGTGTCATACATCTTGATTTTCTGGTCTTGTATCAAGTGAACAAACGAGGCCTCCCTGATACGATGAGTTCGTTAAAGTACGAAAACAAAAAAGCACAATGCTTCCCTTTCAACATTGTACACAGCAACAGATGACGAGCCCCCAACAAACCGCGCTGCAGCACGCGAACTGCAGTAGGTACCCAGGGAGGTAACGGGGCATGGCGGGAGAGGGCGACAACGACGGAAGTGACATCACATGAACACTATTTATAGACTATCTCACGTAAGACACGTGGCCATATCCACCTTAAGATTCTAAATGAATGTCTTTTACATATTTTTTATTTGGTGACGTGAATTGATAACGTCTGGAAATTTCTGAAGCACCAAGCCAGCCGTCTTTATGCGCATGTGTCCACTGTAGCCTGGTTGGTTGCTAGTTAAATACCCAAAGTGACAAGGTTGACAGCATCACATGGGGCCATAAGAAGAGCCCGTAAAACAGTCCTATATGAAGCTGTACAGAAAAGTAGCTGCACTGGTGCTGAGTTGGCTGGAACTACTGTGGTACGTCCTGCACCCGCTTAGCAAGCATGGTGCCACACCTCTCAAATTCATCGCACATCATGGATTCTCCCGGCAAGCTTTTCTAGGCGCACTATAGTCACTCTTTCTTCCTTTGAATCAGCCACACGAAAAAAAAAAAAAAACTTCGCAAACTCGTCGCTACATGAAGCGCTAACAGCTGCGTTGCGCTTCGCGTTACGGGCCCTCTCGCAGAAAAGCATCACTGAACCCTAAGAAAACCTTCATGGCAGAATTGACTGGGTCCAATGAACTTGAGAGGTGTGGCATAATGCTTGCCTAACAAGGCAACCGCGCACTCCTGTAGCGTTGCCTAACACAGTGCCAGTGCAATTACTTTTGGATACTCCCCATACGCTGACAACGCGCTCAATGAAATAAGGATGCTGTGACAAAATGTTATTTCATATAATGCCAAGGTTAGCAGGCACAAGAGCAAACTCTCACTGCATTGACAGAAGAAACACTGTAAGCAATGTTTTGTGTCCTATTTGCTGGCACAGATACAAATGGGGCCACAGATACAAATGGGGCCACAGATGAAAGCTAGGGAAAGGCCGAAGTTGCCTGACATCAACGGCATTCTTTTCCATCAAATTCTTTTTTTTGTGCAACGCGCCCATTAAAAGTTTGAACTCTGCAAGCATTAACAAAAAGGCTCTATCAAGAACCTTAGTACACTTATGTTTATTTATTTATTACAAGTACCTACATCGCCCATTGGGCATTGTTGTAGGGGGGTTACAGTAGAAAATAGAATACAAAACAGCAAAATTAAAAGCAAATAAATCGTGCATTACAGTATACAGGAGAAATCAACACTTGTAGTACAGCGTTAGAACAAAAGTACAAAACACAGGATTATACAACGAAAGCAGTAATTATACATATAAACATATATGTTCATTACTCATTATTATTATTATTAGCAGCATTCTTTTAAGACTAAGAATGAGATAACTTACCTTGTGCATTAAAGTGCTGACTAGATTGTGTTTCTGACGATGCTAAAAAAGATCATGAAATCAAACAAAATTATCAGAAAACTAATGTGCTCTACCATTGCCTTTTGCCCATTGTAACATATAGAGCACAAATTCTGGAGCTAACAAGAAAATTTGAGAAGCATTCAAGGACTGCAAATCCTCCAACAAAACTAAAAAATTATAGGCATAGTGTAATTGATAGCCTGACAGCAGAGTAAATCAGAAGAGAAACAGGGGTAGTTCATATTCTAGATTACATTATGAGAAAAAAATACAGAATCCGGGTATGTTATGTCCCAAATAGAAAGAACCAACAATCAGTTAGGGTGACAGAATGGATTCCGAGAAATGGGAAGCCCAGCCAAGGAAAAGAGGGGCTTGGGCAAAGCAATAAAATTAACAACCTTGTTACAAAAGCAAAAGCTAACCGCGGTTCCGACCAACCACAATTGAAGGTGCGGAACTGTGGTTGTCAGCAACGACAGTTGACCGATGTTACACAACGAAAATGCGTCCTCAGTTAAGGCAGCTAACCCATCCTCTATGAACGCCACCATTTCCTCGGTTCACCGCCAAATCGAAGTTGCCAAGCTCCGTTTCCTACAACTGGTTGTACTCAGAAAAAATGATGGGGAAAGAAATTGCGATTGTTCAGTGTACACTTCAGTGTTATATAACAAGTATATATACTTTTTTCTCGGAAAACTAAACAGCGCATTTGCGACCGCACACTGTTCCCCTTCTTCATGGACTGCCATGTTTACTTTGGAAAACAGGCTAGCTGAAAAGGCGGTGCTGTCCAAGAAATCGAAAGAAAAGAGAGGCATTCCTGCAAATGAAAGTCAGTTAACTAAAAACAAAACATAATTGCATTTCACCTATGACTTGCCAAAAGGCAAATGAGAAAATTATCAGTAAACTCAAGTACTACTTTCTACGCGGTAGCAGGCATGCAATTCAGTTCTGCAGCTCCCACAGTACTGCCAAGAAAAGTTGTTGCTAAGTGTAATGAGGCGTTAACCTTGAACATGGCGGACGTTGTACATGGCTGTTAGTCACTTTGACAAATGGACAGCAACTTAATCAGTTAAAAGCTAGTGGTGAAGACAGACGAGTATGGTTATTAATGAGAGCATAAGAGGAAGTTCCATAAATTAGCCGCCGATTGATTCCGGCTTTTTGTGCACAAGGCAGGCAGCAGATGCCAGCTCGCTCATCTCCTCAAGAAGATGGTCACTTGTTAACGTTCATATATGCAGCAAGCACAACTATAATATGGTGGGAAAGGTGTGGCATAGTTAATGCAGTGTATACTCTTAGGGCTGAAGCTGGCACAGTATGGCAAAGCTCTATGTTAACACCTGTTCATTCACACGTTGAAACGAAGATGCCCAACCAGGTAACATAATAGCGCAAACTTGGAAAGCATAGGTAAAAGAAAAGAAACAGGGGGGAGCAGGAAGGTCTGGCGTGTAGACAGATGCGCAGGCACACGGAACTGTGCTGCTCTTGCTGGACTATACCAAAGTGTCAGCAACACAGTTGAAAGTTACAGCAGATGACACAAAGTACCTCCCATAGGTCTTAGTGCACCTGTGCCACTTCACTACAATGCACAGCACTGCCATGCTGAGCAGTGTCACCCAAGAGCCTGTACCTGTCATGTGTCAAACTATGTGTCATAAAAGTATTGCACTGTTCCTGAACCCTTTATAACACAGGTATCCTTCAGGGAAAAAAAAAAAGGAAACTCACCGAAGTGAGGGAGATGTTTCTGGCTCCTATGAAACCTGTCCAGCCGACGCATTTCAACTTTTCGCTTCATGCTGGTGAAAGAGAACACGGAAGGAGCCCAGTCCGGATTGTCTCTGTCTGACTTGTCGCTTGGCTCACCTGCGTGAAAGCGAGCAATGAGACATGTTCAAGCAGTGCAAGCACAGTACAGATACTTGCACTGCAAAGCTGCAAATCATGATTTTGGCCGATTGCGCATACAAATTTGTTGTCCGATTTGATGAAGGAAGATGTTCTTTGGAGAAACGTTTGTGGATTGGTAACAGAATTGTTAAATGCATGTCAAATTATAAGTATAAGCAGAAAACAACAAGCAGCGTCACATTAGGTATGTTAATTCGCCTGCACCACATGAAACAGTTTACGAGATGCTGCACCTTGCCTATTTGTTTCAGCAGTGCAGCATCGACGACGTCTGAACCCTCCCATTCGTTTCAAAAAGTGCAGAAAGGGTGCAGCACTGGTTTACGATATTCCTGCACCTCCTATGCTGATGGTGCTCACTTGAAGTAGCTGGGCGTGCAGGCTGATGCAGCACTTAGGCGTAGGGACCTGTACCCGCCTCTACAAACGCGGTGTGTTTTGCCAAGATGTTTGCGCCCCATAGACTGTCCGCATGTGCGGCTTGCCATCGGTCGGTTTTAGTTGAATGGCCTAAATTAAGTGAACAGAAATAAGGCCTGCGCTTTGCCGGCACATAGTCACTTGTTTCAGGGTGTCACGGTGTGCAATTTATGGACTTGGTGTGCATAGCCGTGAGCCAGTTACGATTGGTGCAGGTGAATCGAATGGACCTATGACAATCTTTTATGTCCAGCCATAAAAAATGAAATTGGGGCATGCTGGGAATTTTAACAAGAGCATAGAGCACAAAGAGGGAGCGGCGTCTGAAGCGTTTGACTAGCAGGACGCTAGGCGTGCTCCCTTCCAAGCTTTATTTCCCTTCGTGGTGTTGAATGCTACGTACGACAGAGAATGAAAAACCTTTTCTTAGGTCGAAATGAACTGTTTCAGTGCTTTATGAGAGAATAAAGCTTCTGACATGGCCAAGAGCAACACAGAAGGAAAATCAGAACGTGTGTACATATATGTGCAACAAATGAATCCCAGTGCTTAGTATACCAGACGTCATTCTCCTGTGAAAACCATTGTACTTACAATCATTTATTATAGCTTACTGCATGCTTTTCAAGGCAAGGTTCTGTTTGCGTTGCATAAGTTGTTGCCAGACTGCCGCCAAATTTGGTAGAAAAATTTGTTCCTGTAGTTGTGGTATCTTTGTGAGAGTTTGGTGTCGTCCACGGTGCATTTTGCGAGTGCATGAGCGACGCTGGCCGTTTTAATTAATGGAAGGAACCGCGCCTTGCAGACGTTGGGGCGCGTTCTATTCCTGTGTGGGCTGCTGTGAAATTAAGAGATCGTGTCTCAGAGTTGGGGGATCAACGACGCGTCGTCCACCGTGCATTTCGCGAGTGCGATGAACTTTTTCGCAAGTGCGTTTGCGACATAATTAACGCAATGAACCGCGCGTTACTGAAGTCGGGGCGCTTTCTCTTGCTGTGCAATTAAGAGATCGCGTTAAGGTATTAGGGACGACGGGGAAAACTGAACATAGAGTCGCAGCAGGCGCTGCCCTCCCCTCCTCCCCCCCCCCCCTCTTTTTTTTTTTTCACAGCTGATCGTGCCATGTCGACCGCGTGCCACGATGGGGACACTACGCTTCCCCTAGCTGTGTCAGCAGAAGACATATCGTTCGGACTCGTGTAATATTCTACAGCTATATACGCCTGGAAGACTGCTTTATCGAAGCAGTTGGAGCGAATTAAGCGCAACTCGCGCGTACTTGTAAATAGGACCCAACCGACCAGCCGCCATCACTTGCAGGGCCCCACCCACAATAAGCACAAACGACCAAAATTCCAAATAATGAACGCTCATGTGGGGTCCCACTTACACGTACGCGCGAGTCGCGCTTAATTCACTCCAACTGCGTTGATAAGGTAGCCTTCCAGGCGTATATAGCTGTAGAATATCCCACGTACCCCGATTAGCCAGCCTTGGGACGTTTATTCGTCACATGTACACGAGTCCGAACGATATGTCTTGTGCTGACACAGACTCGTGTACATGTGACAAATAAACGTCCCAAGGCTGGCTAATCGGGGTATGTGGGATATTCTACAGCTATACACGCCTGGATATTCTACAGCTATACACGCCTGGCTAATCGGGGTACGTGGGATATTCTACAGCTATACACGCTTGCTGCGACTCTATGTTCAGTTTTTCCCGTCGTCCCTAATACCTAAACGCGATGTAGTAATTGCACAGCTGCGCACACAGCAAGAGACAGCGCCCCGACTTCTGTAACGCGCGGTTCATTGCGTTAATTATGTCGCACACGCACTTGCGAAAAAGTTCATCGCACTCGCGAAATGCACGGCGGACGACGCGTCGTCGATTTCCTAACCCTGAGACACGATCTCTTAATTGCACAGCAGCGCACACAGGAATAGAACGCGCCCCAACGTCTGCAAGGCGTGGTTCATTCCGTTAATTAAAACGGCCAGCGTCGCTCACGCACTCGCAAAATGCACCGCGGATGACATTAAACTCTCACGGAGAAGCCACAACTACAGGGGCAAGTTTTTCGCTAAACTTGGTGGCAGTTTGGCAACAACTAACCCAAAGTCTGGCAACTGACTTATGCAACGCCAAACAGAACCTTGCTTTTTTTTTTAATAGCCTATCAGCCAGAAAAGAACTTGACAATTTCGTTTTACCCTTGAAAAAGTTCAAGTCGGAAAGGAATATGATGGGCAATCGCTTGAAAATAAACAAAAGATTTTTTGAGAAACTACAACACACGCACGTTTTTTTTTTTCCTTTCGTGTGTGCGTATGTGCGCGCGCGAAGGCATCGACAAAACGTCACACGAACTCTTCCAACCAACCACATGATTAGGTAGTTGTGTGCAATCGCATTCATTTTGTACGTCTATTAACCACAATGCTTAACCACGATGTCATTCTATTTCAGAATAGCCGACTTCAATGTAATTTTACCCTCCAAGAAGTGCTTGCTGCAAATGAGGTGGTGGCTGTTCGGTACCCAGTTTTGCCTTCCCACCGCGCGGATCCATTCTCGGCGTCGTTCAGGATCACATCTTGGAAAACGAAAGAAACGGATGCCGCTTCCGATCTGTGAACGGCTCTTACATCCGGGCACGCAACATGTAGCCACCATTCCGCAAGTAAGTTCACTTCAGCACTTCTTTTGACGGTATATATGCGGGCAGCACGGCAAACACTGGGAACACCCACAACCGCAGTTCACACATCTGCGTATCCTTGCACCCCGCGCACACGGTCCACACGTCGCGAACCACGAAATTACCAGCGGCTACCAGTCAATGCACCAGTACACTCGGACGAAGCTCATCTCGTGGACGCCAGCAGAATACACCGGACGCTAAATTGCCCACGTTTGCCTACCATGCCTGTTGAATGTTGACAAACGAGCAAATCACGTGATCAGCAAATAATAGCGCTGTCATCGGTAGCGATCAAAAATTGGCTGCTTTGATCTTGGTATATTGGTAATCGGTATGAATTGGTGGTCATCAGTAACAATCATAACGCATATATGAATTCAAGATTTTGTAAAGAATTTTCGTTACGCTTTAGATGTTGCTAAACAAATAGTGAGGTATTTAAAGCAGAGCCTACTTTTGAAACGCTAGCTTTGTAGAAGCCCGCCCCAACAAGTGAAAGTGTCCCGTTGAGCTGCAGTTTGATGACAGAGGCATGTCTTAAGTTTTATAGCAATAGTTGATAATGCAGACATCTTGTCGACGACTTAGCAGCTGACGTGCCTTACCAAATCTTGGGAAATATAAACTTTTAGGAAAGGTGATGCAGACTCCACACGAAAAATACACGTCAGATTGCGCAAACCCGAATAATTCCACATTTTCGTCATACATAAATAATGTGTTTGTTGCTATCTTGCCGGCATAGGAGGGTAGACAGTCGTACTCAGCACTGGTTGTGAAACAACTGCAATTACAAGATTATAGACGTTTGTGGTCAACACAATACAACAAGAAATGAGAGCTTGAACTTTACTAATACAGGAGCACGTACAAATATAAACAGCATGCATGTCCACAACAAGACACTGAAGGGTAAACAAAGGAACTGTGACGGTTATACTCGTTAATTTGGTGCTTTTGACAATTTTACGTTGGCAACGCTGTGAATAGTAAATAAGAGAGAGCACGGAGTAAGGAAAGGTGGCGTAGAGAAAGTGCAAGGAAAGTGTATGAGAGAGAGTATGGGATCAAGAATGAGTACTGGAAAGGATGATATAAAGTCTTCGCCCACCTCCCGTTTTGTTTTGGCGAATAGTGGTTGCATGCGCTTTGTGCTTGCTCTGCGTTTGTGTCTTCCCTCGTCAGAGCGGCTGTATTTGAATATTTCTCGCTAAATGTACTGTCCTGTTGGTGTTGCGTCTCGTCAGCTTCGCGGTACGAGGACTACTCTGCAAACTACTTGAGGAAGAACCTTGGCGGTGCGCATGTGGCGGCCCTTTCAGCTTGCATCGCTCGAAATGCCAAGGTAAGGCGTATCTGGCGGCCCTATTTGCTGCCTGGCGCTCGTTTGGCTCAGTATCCCTTTTCTCTCGACGCGTTTTAGGACCACTGAACTCTCGTAGCCGTTACAAAGGCCAGCGGTAGAAAGCGTAAAACTACAGAGCGGGTTAGAACGGACAACGCTTTTGGAGCGTTGCGCTTGCGTCTGAAAGTTCGGATATCACGAAATACATCGTAGGTATGTTTTTTTTTTTTAGTGTATGGCGTATGGTGCATAGTATGCTTCTATCATAAACTGTGCTGCCTTTTTTTTTTAATCGCGTTTATCTTCCACGGACAATCCCAAAACGTCTTTTCACCGTTGGCAGTGCCAGCCGTGTCAACGAGTGTTTTTTCGGGGCTTACTGTACAGACTTCGTCAAGGCTTTCGTGTACCGGCACAGTTTAAATGTACAGTGATTGACCAGGGTCTCAATGAACCCGAAGTCCCCCTGCGAAGAGCGTGGCCAAGCGCTTCAACGAACGCGCTGCTACGTTAAACGATTAGTGTAGGCGGATAACGTCGTTTCACTCGAACAGGTTTACACGAGTGCGAGAGGCTACGTGCTACGAGACTAGGCAATGCGCACCGGCTGACCTTGTCGTGAGGAGCCGCATCCCGGGATTTGAAAGGTGGTACAGTTGTGGCAATCCTCGATCGGGAACCACGGAGATCGGAACTTACGAGTGGAGTAGGGTAGACGCTTGAATGTGGGGCACACACCCCTGCTGAGGGATCGGCCAAGAAGCGGATAGGTTTTATTGTAGAATTCTTTAATAAAAGCGTGAGATTGGTCTGTTTAAAAAAAAAAAGAATTTGTTGGTTTGTTTGTGAACTTGGCTCATACCCACAATAGGGATCTGTACCACAAGAAAATTTCCGCGCATGAGCGGGCTGGTTTTAGAAGTGGAAACTCCTGGGAGTGAAATTTCAAGAACCAGTCGCACTTATAATGTATCTTTGAATTTTATTGCAGGACACTGTTGAAATGTCAAATACTGAAGTTGCCATTTTACTGACCATGAGGTAACGCTTCTTGCAGATGGGCAAAAAAGGCCGTTGGAGAAGCAAGCCAAAGAGTCGACCAAAACTACTTAACAAGGCCAGAAAGATGTAAGAATTGCTCTAAAATCCCAAGCAAGTGCCCCCCTCCTCCCCATTGTTGGTTATGAATAAAAAAACTAGGAGACCCTTAAGCTTTGTCTTAAGAGTTGAACGCGATAGCGATATCCTGGCATTAGTGCGCACTTCAACCACTTACTGCACCCCTGTATGATGTTACAAGATAACTTTAAATTGTGGATTGCTACTATGCAAGCGATAAAGTTGAAAGGGGCTTGTGTTGGCGAAGCTTTTGCACATGGCTGCGTTTTGTGTAGTGGGTAGCACGCTTTGAACCACAAGCAGTTACTCGTTGTTACGAAGAGGCCCCACAGGTCTCTTGGGTAGCGTGTCGCGAGGGGAGAGAGCATCCAGGCAGTGGCAAGGCAAAAGGCAGCCAGAAGGAAACAAGATGTTTATATTTGCAACGTATGTACTAGACGTGGACGAGGAAGCAGCCGATGCCAGATGTGCCAGCCTTTAATAGGCGCCGAGACGCTCGAGGAGAAGGGCGCAGCCCCGCTGTTCGATGCACGCAGAGTCTTCGACGGTCGCTTCTCGTGTCTGTGAAGGGCGCGCTTGGTGTCTCTGCAAGGAACGCCAGCTAGCATCGTAACAGCATGCACGTGAAATGTTCATCGTGAAATGTTCATCGTGAAATGTAGCATCGTAACAGCATGCACGTGAATGTGAAACCCACTACGTGGTTTTTAAAGGAATGCGTGCAGGCGTTTTGTAATAGGTAGTGGGCGTTTAACAACAAAGTAGTAGTGATAGTCATGTCCTGATGCCTGATGGCAATGTATGCTTGTTCCATGTAATATTACTTAGATATTACATGTTGCATTGTGATTTTTGTATACAGGACAAGCGTGTTTGTAAAACATGAAAGTGTTTTTCATTGCATTTCCAAGCAGAGGCAGTTATTTTCACTGTATTTCCAAGCAAATGAGTGGCTGTGTGGTAGATCATTTACTTGCCACCCATACAGCCAAGGTTTCATTCTCACTCGTTCCTTTAAATTTTTAATATTTATCTTTTGTGCATCTCTAAATTTTTTGATCGTGCACTAGATGATGATTTTTTGCTCGTAACCAACAATGCTGGCGCTGTAATTTCTGCAAAATGAGCTCTGCATTAAAATTCAAGTTGGTGGTGAAACAGCCCTAAAACTAAAGAAAACACACTCGTGCTTACTATATAAATGTTTGCTTGAACACACGTGTATTAATTGTTTTCATTTGCCCTCATGAGGTGAATAGAAACGGTAAAAATGTAGGGAGGGGAGAAAAAGGCACACATTCGAAATCTCATTAAGAAGGGGTGGGGGGGCATTGCTCCAGATTTATTGGGAATTAATACAAGGGGCATGCCTAATAAAACTGATCCACTCGACAAACATTGCTGTTACATATGGATGAAAATGCTCTTAAAATGGGGAGAAGGCTTTATTCCCACTGTGACATGCAAGAATCATGAATGGAAGGGATTTTGACTTCACTGAGTTACAATGTCAGTGTGTGTTCATATGCAGTGACTGCTATACTTCATCAGTATCAATGCCGACTAAGAAGCGCTAGGCATGTTTAGCATACTCAGAGCAGTGAAATTACCTAGAATGAGAAGATAACTATGTCACGCCTACTGTCTCCAATATCAGCCCGCAGTAGTGAGCCAGTCAATCGTACGGCTGTTGACGTGGTGAGCACATTGATCCCAAGGCATTTATATCTCTGTCACACGGGCCCTTTTGAAAGACCATCCAGTCAATGGCCATCGAAACGCCACAACTCTATCAACTCGATGGGGTTGTCGCGCCACTACGTGCTGTTTTGAACGGCCGTTGAGTAGTTCAGGAATTTATCGCAAAAACTGTGCAGTGCTGCGGGTCCTTATTTTCGTATTCGTTACCTCAAGTTAAATTGTATAAAATCGCTTAAAAACTCAAATATGTCTATTGTTTTTTACATATTTTATTAAATTGTTTATTCATAGTTGTCAATGCATATTCAACTTCAAGGTATTGAGTATTGAAACCTTGGCAAGCGTAACACAGCCACACTTTGCTTAAAATGAGCACCTGGCAGTTGTCGAGGGTATGTGCAGTTTGCACATTTCATGTGGCAAGAATACTCTATAAAGTAATTCACAACGTTCACATATACTGCTTTCAAAGCATTCTAGTTACTTAGTTTTTTCCGATCCCGTTTTTAATCACGATTACGAGTACACTAAGTACACTGTGAATGAGAAGACACGTTGGCACTGCTTGCGCTTCTATCATTCCATGGTCATGAAACTTTCAGTAGAGTTGTGGGGTGCTCCATTGACTTGATAGGCTATTGACTCAATGGGCTTCGAGAACGCTCGTGTAGAAGTTCCTCCTCGACATTTGAGTCGATAGAGCATCGGTTCAATGGCCTTGCAAGCACCCTTGTGACACGGGTGTTGGACATGTTTATTAGGTGGTTGCATGAGCTGACTCATGTTTCAGGAATGTGTTTGTTGCCAAACGTGAACTGAGGCGTGATGCATGTACTGATACTGATTTTCATCTTTGTTCTTATGAAATGAGCCAGTCAAATGGCAAAAGCTTCTTCCTGTGATCTCAGTGCACCAAATAGCATCATGCACTTCATTCACTTAGTACAATGATTGAAATGTTCACACATTGTACATGGCTTCTGCCCAATTTTTTCAGTACCACAGTTATTGCAGAAAAGGAAAAATAAATTGAAAGATTAAGCAATAATGAACAATGATAGGGACGAAATACAAAAAGAATGGTTGAGTACCTTAACTGACGAAGTATTAAAGCAGGGTTATATATCAATATTGAAATTTTATTCTGCACCGAGAAGACTGTTATTGGAGGACACCTAGAAGCTGCAAGAACAGCTTTGAGGGGTTCTGACCCCCCATTACACAGGGTAGCTTAAAGGTGTGGGGCTACAGCAGTTGAACCTACTACTCTTCAAGAAAGCTAAGAGCATGTTTGACTTTTTTTGTGATGGTCCTGACTCTCCACATACGACTTTTTAACGGCTCACTTATGCAAAATTTCAAGCTCGAGATGGGTCTTTCATACAATTGCTCGGTATGGATAAGTAATTTTGAACAAATTTGAATGGCGTTTATTGCCTGAAAATTTTTATGTTGAGGGCAAAGAGCATACAAAACCCCAAAGTGGCTTTCAGTACTCTGTCACCTCGACACTACTGTGACGTGTTTGGTATGGCGCATGCCATCCTGAGTGACATAAGCTAATATCCATGATGTCGGTGTTGTGAGTGTCACTATTGTGGCACCGATGCCTGAAAATGCTCTCACTCCTAACGCCTGATCTTCATCTTGCTGCGTCGATTGATTTCATGAAGTAACGATGCAAACCACAAAAAAAGGGGCAAAATGAGAGAGAGATTCGACATGTGCCCATTTGTCAGCGTGTCGGGAAACCCTTGTAAGCCGCAGTTGTGTTGTTAGAAGAGCGGAAAGTGTGAAATGAGTGTGTCCTTTCATTGTCATCACACGTGTTGTACATGCCAATACGACCGCAAGCTATGAAAGTGGACGAGCACATAAATATCGTCGGTAACAAGTAACATACAACTAGTGCTAATTGTGAATTTCAGTTCGTCTTTAGACCTTGCGCCTAGCGTAAAAACTGGTTACTTCAACTGTAACCATGAGAGGCCGGATAGGTAGGGTCATCTGGCGGTGCAAAGAATCTGGCAAGCATGCAATCATTATTGTAGAAACCTAGCTTATTCTATTTCTCCACTGGTGTACATTCACTATACCCTATGTGCGAAAATTCAAATGCTGTGCACGTTAGAATTCTCTAGTGTTGCTAATTGAGAGACATCACTGAGCATGCCCCAAGCGAGCGTATCCGAGGACCTCCTCATTGCTGTTTGGAATGGCCTGAATTTTTGAATCGCGGTTTTGCCAAGGTGAAAGCGAAAATGATCGGTAAATTGCAGTGATCCCAAGTTCTAGAATGTCATCTGCAACACTAGTCAACATTTTTCGTCGTAATGATGGCGATGCTCATTAGAATGTATAGCTGAATGTGTCTACTTACCGCAAAAAAATGTTTGCTCAGCAGCTGAGCCTGACATCGCTTCTTTCTGTGAAAAAGTGGTCAGGTGAGGCGAAGTCGAGAGGTGGCCATAAGAAAGTGTGCGAGTGCTAAAAAATATACAATATTGTGGTTTACCGTCCGAAAACACCACGAGTGCTAAAAAATTGGCGGGCTTCCCAGAAGTATTGAATCTCGCTAAATATCGGTGATATAAGTATGTAAAACAAATACTTACTTATTCTTCCCTCACTTGCAAATGGCTACTAGAGGGAAGATAACTTAGTACTTGTGGATGCAAAATTGTTATGTGTAAATTTTGTGTGTACCTTTTAAAGGTCATTAAATAGGTTTCAAGATTTTTTTTACACCCTCCCCCCAAATAAGCTCGCTAATTTATACTGTAGACCATGCTGATCAAATTTTGCAAAAATTACAGTGCTGCGCATCTTGCAAATCCTCAATTTCGAAAAACAATACCCAGGCTTCTTTTCTTCGACTGACCGATCCTCTGTGTACGAAATTTTGTCCGTGGGCAACATTCCGCACCCCTGAGCTTGTTGATTGGCCTTTACCCTACGAAATGGCCCTTTGGTATAGCAGTGATGCAGTTTTGGCCACCTGGTCCATATTTTCGCTGTCCTCTGCTGTTTTGTAGGGCTCGAGACTACCGAGAGAAGTGGTATTGCCAGAGCGAAAGCATCCAAGAGAAAGAGGCGTCTCGCTGCTTTACCACTAGGAGGAAGGTGCTCCTTATACCCCACCGCCATGACACATGCTCACGTGAGTGGAGCCCTGCTCGGTCATTTTTTGTGTACTGATGATGTATCACTGACATTGTTCTAAGTTTACGCCCTGGGCATAGTCATTACAAAAAGCTATGACGAAGGCTGACCTGGTCAAGTTGCTGTGAGAGTGCTGTCGCGTTCCACGACAGATTATTGGACTCTTACTGACTAGGTCCTTGTGCAGATGCTGTGTGATGTTTCTGTCGCTTTCCTCTCTTACCTCTCCTTCTTTCAATCTCTATTTTCCCATGGGTAGCAAACCGGTTATCCTGGACTGGTTGACCTCCTTACCTTTCCTTCTCTATCATTCTCTTTATTTACGTTTCTCTGCTATGAGAAAAAGGTGGAAATGACAAGCGAGGAACTGAAAGCAGCCAAAGCGAGTTGTTCTAAGCCCTATAACCTGCCTATTATAGCACTTCTTTGCAGAGTTCATGTGGCAGCATGTTCACATTGTACAACAGCACAGTTTTTTTTTTTTTTTTTTTTTTTATTTGAAACAAAACCCGCAGCGCCACTTAGGCATTATTGCGGGGGGCACAGAGCCTCATAAAATGAATCCGCAGTCTTGCGGCCAACTACATCGGCTGGTAACGTGTTCCATTCAACAATGGATTGCGGAAAAAAAGAATGCTTAAAAAGATCCGTTCTGGGGTTGTATGGCCGTACTTTAAATTTGTGATCATGACGGGAGGATTGATAATACGCTTTTTTTAAATAATCTGAAGCATTAATGCCCGTTTTATTGTTATATATCGAATAAAATAGTTTTAATCTTAGATTACGTCTTCGATCTTGTAAGTATTGCCAATTAAGTTCTCTTTTCATACAACGGGAGCTTTCAGTTCGGCCATATTTTCCCAGAACAAATCTTGCTGCCATCGACTGAATGCGCTCTAATTCATGAATATGTATTTTGTTAAACGGATCCCACACAGGACAGGCGTATTCTAGTATTGGTCTCACATAGGCATAATATGCGGCCTGTTTAACCTCCTTGGTTACATGTTTAAGATTTCTTTGTAAAAAGCCTAGGGCTTTTCCCGCTCTACTTACAACATTGCCAATGTGCTCAGACCATCCCCCATCCTCAGAAAGCGTGACACCCAAATACTTATATTTGTGTTCATACCTAATAACTTCATTGTTTAATATGTACTGATTTGTAAATCTATTAACCTTTTTGGTGAAACTGACGTGAACACATTTATTCGTGTTTAATACCATGTCATTATTTTTACACCATGCCTCCACGTGATTAAGGTCATCCTGAAGCTGGGTGGAATCCGTTTGGTCGGTCAATTCAGTATACAACACACAGTCGTCAGCAAACATTCTGATACGACACCTAATTGTATCCGAAATATCATTAATAAACACAAGGAAGAGAAGCGGACCGAGTACGGAACCCTGAGGTACCCCTGATGTCACCGAAGCTAAACACGAACAAGATCCACCAAGCACAACCTTTTGTTTTCTTGAAGTTAAATAGTCCGCAATCCAACGGCAAATGGTTTGATGAATGTTCAAGTTCTGCAGTTTTTGAATCAGAATAGAGTGTGATACCGTATCGAAAGCCTTTCTGAAGTCTAAAAATAAACAATCAATCTGTCCTCGATTATCTAAAACTGATGCTATATCATGATAGAATTCAATTAATTGGGTTGTGCATGAAAAACCCTGTCTAAATCCGTGTTGTTTAGGATTAAAAAATTTAATTGAAGTCAGGTGATTCATTAAAGCAGAAAAAAGAACATGTTCAAGTACTTTACAACAAATCGGCGTCAAAGAAATTGGTCTGTAATTTGATACGTCTGATTTAGAACCACTTTTGAAAACTGGCACAACATTAGCTATTTTCCAATCATCAGGAAGCTTGCCTTCATCGAGTGATTTTTTATAGATAACATAAAGGTAACGAGCCACTGCCTCAGAGCAAAGTTTTAAAACTCTTGGTGATATGCCATCAGGGCCAGTTGCTTTACCTTCGTCAATGCGCTGTAACAACTTCATTATGCCATTGAATGAAAGCTCTATCTCACCCATAGGCAAATATTGTTCTTTTTTATTCGTGACAATCACTTGTGTAGGTGGGCGGAAGACCGATTTAAAGAAGTCGTTAAAAAGTGTGGCTTTATCTCGATCCTCAATTACAATCTCGCCACCGTAACGTAGGTTTGGTGGGCTAACCTTCTCAGTACCACATCGTCTCATATATTTCCAAAACCTTTCTTATTAGAAAAGTCAGCGGCCAGACTCTTAAAATACTTTTTCTTGGTTTCTTTCAGTTCCATTTTATAAAGTGATGTCAAATCTTTCATTTTATTAAAATTTTCAGGGGATTTTTTTTGGCAGTATCGGGAAAAAGCCCTCTTGCGCTTTTTGATAAGCTGAATAAGATGCCCCTTAATCCAAGGTTTCTTAATTTTACTCAGTTTATCGCTTGAGACGCTCGGGACGTGACGCCGAATGAGCCCAGTAATGCGTTCCTTAAACACTTGCCATAGCTGCTCAACAGTTGCTTCGTCTGCACTGCATTCAAAAGACAGAAATTGTTGCTCAAGACCAGCTGATATTTGCTGATAGTTTGCTTTACTATAAAAGAAGATTCTCCTAGATTCGCATTTCTTTGTATTTACCCGAGATCTTGTCAGCTTTGCAAAGACGGCGTTGTGATCACTAATACCGGGAATAACGTGTGTTTCATTAATGACATCAGGGGTATTACAAAACAACAAATCCAGAATGTTGTCACCTCGCGTAGGACTGGAAACATACTGCATGAGGCCGAGCACGTCAGTCAACGTTTTCAATTCACAGTATGTCGCTGCCTGAGACTTTAAGACACAATTACCGTTATTCCACTCAGCATCCGGTAAATTAAAGTCACCAGCAAGAACGACACATTCTTTAGAAAATGTGCAGGCAATTTTTCTCAGCTGACGCATAACATTCGGTTCAAAGACAGGAGGCCGATAGAAAGCACCAACAATGAAACTAGAACGATTACTTTGCACTACTCGGCACCAAACAGATTCAGTTTCATTGTTATCAATAAAAATTTCTTCGGACATCAAAGAATCCTTCACAAGAATGAAAACACCACCACCATGCGTTGACCGGTCTTTTCGATATGTTTGAAAATTGCAAGGAAACATTTCAGAGTTCGAAACTGCTTCGTCAAGCCAAGATTCTGACCCAATGACTAAGTCAGCGTTCACTGACCCAATAAGGCCACCCAGCTCATCAGCTTTATTCTTAACACTTCGGCAATTCATCATCAGAAGGACAATATCTCGGGCACCTTGGGGCTTTTGTCTCACTTCTTTGTTATCGCGTCACGAACGTCTTACTTTTGTGACATCTTGCGCAACGCTATCCCAAGTGTAAGTCCTACCGTCAATGATAAGCTTATCAAAAGAAAGTTTCACTGTGTGACCATCTGCTTTTTTTGATTTTGCATATTCCCATAAGTGCTTTCTTTTTTCGCGCACCTGCTTGGAATAGTCGTCACTGATTGATAAGCCAGAATCTTTCAATTTGTGTGCATTTTTGTAGAGATCAGCTTTTTCTCGAAAGTTGTAAAGCCGTAGAATGACTGGTCTGTTCTTCCCCCGCTTCTTTGCTCCAATGCGGTGAATTCTTTCAACACTCATTAAGGTGACACCCATTTTAGCAGTAAAATATCGTCAAGAACAGTTTTACGAAGTGATTCAGTTGTTTCACCAGTACTTTCTTTCAACCCATATACAACCAAATTATTACGTCTGCTTCTGTTCTCAAGATCATCGAGTTTCACTTGCATCTCAACAATGCCTGCCGATATTCGATCCACTGTTTTCTCACAACGTTCAAATTGTACACTTTTACCGGCAAGGCATTTTAATTCACTTTCAATTGAGTCTAACCTCTGATCCGTAAGAGCAATGTAGTCGTCGAGCTTCTTTCTAATTGTTCCCATCACCTCAAGTATTTCTTTTTGACCTTTAAGTAGCTCCTGCATTGCAGAATCATTAGGGCCCGGGTTCATTTCAATGTCCCCACTCAGAAGCAATACCAACATACACGCAGCATCAAAGCACTCGGCCACTCCATCACAAAAGGCTCTTGGGCAAGGCAACACCACCAGGCACCGGAAACTCGTGGTGCATTTGGAATAGGAATGTTTTTTACTACCCTGCAGAACGTACAAGAGCAGATTATTCCGTGGCCGCATGCTGGCGGTGAAACCCTGCCCAATGCGTATCTCGAGGCCTCGCCTGTCGCTGTCGATTTGGCTGTGTAGTTCAAAGCACCGGAAACCAAAACTTGAGCTGGCCACCGAATCCAGGAAAATTCATCTGTGCAGCAGAATTCAGGACTGCGCTGATTGGCGTCGGGTGACAAAATCACTGGCAGCAGGCTTTCCGGTGACCATCCATCCGATGATAACCCCAGGCACAAGGCGAGAATCTGCAGAACGTACAAGAGCAGATTATTCCGTGGCCGCATGCTGGCGTTGAAACCCTGCCCATTAAAAAAGTTCTCCATTAAAAATGTTGGACCATGCGGTTGTGTACAGGTGCTTTAAAGAGGCACGTTAAGTCTCATTGGCAGTCATACAACCCTCAAAGAAGCGTATAATGAGCCCCCAAAGAGAGTTGACATGCTTCTTTATAAAGAGTCATACACGTGGCTAGTTGGAACTTTTCAAAAAGAAAAGTCAGAGGACCTTTTCTTCTTTTTCTTGCAGTGTAGGGGAAAAACGTAGGCGTGAAAACAAAGGAATGTGAAGCAGGCAAACAGAGAAAGAAAAGGTAGTCACTCTATCACATCGTTATACAAAGATTTATAAGGACACTGGAAAGAAATAACTTCGTTTAGATTGAGAAACTGGCCCCGCCGCGGTGGTCTAGTGGCTAAGATACTCGGCTACTGACCCGCAGGTCGCAGGATCGAATCCCGGCTACGGCGGCTGCATTTTTGATAGAGGCGGAAATGTTGTAAGCCTGTGTGCTCAAATTTGGGAGCACGTTAAAGAAACCCCAAGTGGTTGAAATTTTCGGAGCCCTCCACTACGGCGTCTCTCATAATCATATGGTGGTTTTGGGAATTTAAACCCCATATATCAATTAAATTGACAAAGTGTACTCCAAACACTTAATTGCCATATGTTTTATAGTTATGACTTCATTATTGTTGAAGTAAATCAAAGTAGAATTTTTGTTTTTAAGTTTGGGCCGAAGCTTTCGCGCATGACATAAAAATTTTGAAATGTATTTTCATATTTTCGTGACTTGGCGCATTAAAGTTTTTTGAAACTTCATATGCTTGGTCTATAACACTTGCATATGACTATGTATTTCACTTTTATCGATTAGAACCGAGATAGGACCCAGTAGACTCCTCTAAAATTTATGATGTCACGGTGTTTGGTGCCAGATTCTGAAGATGGCGTCTCGACCTGCATTTTATTTTTGCTCATTTTATCGCTTACGAAGCGTCGTATGGTGGTAAGAGTGGTCTTTTAAGGATTTTGAAATTGTACTTTACTAATAAGAGAAAAATCGTTTTGAACTTTAGTGACTCTTTAAACACAGCTCGTTTGTGGATATACCACAAATGTTATTTTTTTGTGTGTGTGGTTAATATGTGTATACGATTGAAATTCTAACAAATGGTCTGTGTGTGGACACTTACCGCGCTCAATGATGGTGTACATTAAAAGGGAGAAAGCTCCTCTCTAGCAGAGTTCGTTTAAACAACAGTTTGTCATGTCTCATTATTAAGGCCTGAATGATGTGGTACTTCTTAATGAAGTATGCCATGTGACAACGATGTCAGCCTTTATTGGCTCAGTGTACAGCTCTTTACAAGTAAGTGTGAAGACTGTGCAAGCACTGCATTCACTAGCCTCAATTTTCATGTGCTGTGCTGTTACGGTGCTCGGCTGCTGACCCGAAGGTCGCAGGTGCGATCCCGGCCAAGGTGGTTGCATTTCAATGGAGGGGAAATACTAGAGACCCGTGCACTGTGCGATGCCGGTGCACATTGGATCGTTTCAGACGATCGAAATTTCTGGGGCCCTCCGCTACGTCGTTCTTCATATGCGTATTGTGGTTTAGGGGAACTAAAACCTCGGATATTAATAATGTTGAAACTACAAAAAGATGCAAGAGAGCGGAGATAAACGATGTTCAAAAAGGGATAAGCTAAGTTCAACTTTTCAGACGTGAAAACAGCCATAGAGAGGAAGTTCGGAAATGGTATATGTAAAATAAGATTATAGGAAGTGCTAAGGGCAAGCATTTACCGTATGATTGTCAAAATAAATTAGCCTCGATTTCGTTTGCTTTGATTATCAGCCAATCGAAACAGTCCTGTCCCATGTCGTAGGCATCCTTTTCTCTTTTTTTTGATGTGTTCTTATTTAATTATATTACTTACCTTGCATTCTTTTCTTTTCAATGCAAATGCTCATTTATTGATATACGCTGACTTGGCCTTTGCATTCTCTTTTTTTTTGTGCACGTGCAGGTGCTGCGGTTGCCGTAATTCGAGCCAAATACTGGGACGATGCTTTTCCTACTCGGCATGAGGGCCGGAACATGCTGAAGTGGATGAGCGCATCGAACTGCCATTTTGTTGTGCTACCTAGATACCCTTCCACCGATCTTGGAAGTGCACACGTTGTGAAGTTGTGTGTGGCTGCATGGTCCTGTTATTGGAGAACAAGCAGCTGCGGCATCCACTTGCTAGCTTGCCGTGTCACCGGTGCCGCTCCTGTCTAGTGAAGTTTCATACGGCTGCTGTGTCATCTCTGCAAACAACGCACCAACTTTGAGACCTTCAACTGCCTCCTGTGCGAGCAAGCAGACCGTCACGTGTTGTGTCAAGTGAGATGCACGGTGTGTGGTAATAGGTTGCAACACTATATCATCCTGCAGAAGTTCTCTTGCAAGGGCACTCAAAAGGCTGACATCTGCAAGCACCAGCATGAGAGTGCTTATGCGAAGCTTGCTTATGCAAAGTGAAACTGGTGTTTTGCTCAAAAAGTGGTCGCTGTGCAGTGGGGTTTTGTGCCAGTGTTGTGCGCACCAAACCATGTGGTCAGGTTCGTTTGTTCGAGGAAGTCATTGCCGGAGACAGTCAAACTCAGACACTGCTGCCCCGGAAAGTCTGCTCAGAGTGCTGACACCATGTATGGCCCAAGCTCGTGCTGCCGGTGTTGATGTGAGCATTGGCAGTTCTTACGTAGCCGCCGTTTATTGACAGCACTGTAAGTCTAATTCTGCTGTCCCGCATGTTCACCTTGCATATGGTTGGTTCAGTGGGCTTTTTGCACCAGTGTCCTATTCTTCGTGGGACATGGCAACGTCATCTTTGATTGCACGTGGTACGGGCGTAGTGTTTGCAACTTCGGCACCTTATGAGCAAAGGGGTGCAGCCGTCACTTTTGCACCTATGTCGCAGTGGAGCAGTGGTTATAGTGCTTGGCAGCTTGCCCAAAAATAATGGGTTTTGATCCTGGCTGTGGAACTCTATATTGATGGAGGCGGCCCATGTACTGTCCGATGTCAGTGCTCGTTCAACGGCACCAGATAGTCGCCTTCCTGTACAGCACATCTCATAATCATGTCAGTGGTGTACAGTTCATTATTGTTGATTCATTTCTGCATTTATAGTTCACTTCTGCAAGATTCATGTGAGAGTTAATTCAGTAGATGTTTGACAATGCATTTTGCACTTTCAGAGGATGTGCAAGAGCCTCCTAAATCTTTACGCTGGGCTACTAGAAATTCAGAGTATCTTTGCGCACCTTGGGTTTTGTTGTAGGCACTGTGTAGTGCTCGCATATTGAAGCACAAGATAATTCTTTTGGTATAACAAGAGCTGTGAGCAGTTGCCCACGACAACTGTAATCATGTTGCTATGAATCTGGCCACTAAAGGTAATATTGGCTGTGATAAAAGAATTGGAATTGAAATATTGCTGACTAGACACAGGGAACTTAAGGAGTCGGGAAAGGAAGTTTGTGCATTACACAGCCCTGTATTGTCGCTTTTCAATCTGCGAGCACTGTTCATGTGCTTTGGTGACCAGAGCCATTAAATATGTATGCAAGGGCTGTGATGAAAATGGTCAAGTAGGAGTTGCGCTGTGTGGTTCATTTGTCCTGGCTTTCATATTGTTTATATTCCTCACAAAGGGGCGTAGAGCCACGTTATTAACTTGGAGGGATACTGAACAAAAGTTGGAATAACTGGTAAAAACTCTATGTACTACTCAGAAAATGTGACTGTTCTGACAGTTAATTTTCTGTATTTGTGTACAGTTAGCTGTATTTTTAATAATTTTCAGCACATAATGGCTCCGTGCACGCGTGAGCTGTGACTTCACAAATGCCGAGGCGCATGCAGGGTGCACGTGTTCCTGTCTTCTGCCCTTTCTCCACCTCTTTTTTTTTTTTTTTTTTTCATCCTACTCTCCCCCTTGCACAAAAGCTCTGATGCTTCATTCAAGCTGAAGGCATTGATTGTTACCGGTGCTGTTCATAGTGGTTCTGGGAACCGGTTGGAGAGCTGAGCGGGTCTGGAGAAGTGGGCAACGTCCGGCATTGTTGGCTTGCCCTTTTTGGGCATGTGTGAGCTCGCCAAACGTTGACTCCTCTAGTTCACGGCACAACAGTGGCCGTGCCGTGAACTAGAGAAGGCGACACGGCAGTGTTATGAAAAACACATTAAATTTATTATTCTGCTGCAGTTTCTGCCTGAAATGAAGTATTATCGGTTTTGACACCCATTCTTTCAATTCCGTTAAAAATCTTGGTTCAAAACACTTTGTTCAGTATCTCTTTACTTAAGAATACATGGTCTCGAATGCCAGCTCAAAGAAGGGACCAAGCGCCATTACCGCTGTGCTTAGGCGTTGCTATGTATATAACTGAGCCTGTTTTTCAACACTCCCATCAGCTGTGCTCGGACCAACGAGGCTTTTCTGTCCTTTATCACCAGTGCCAATAACATGGCAGAGGTATAGGTCTTAATCCAAAGGGTTCAACCTGAAGATAGCATTCATTTTAGGACTCTACAAATTTTCAGATGTGTCGCCAGCTTCTGTTAATTTGGCGTTGAAAAAATAATAAGTTTGAAATCTGCTATAAGCACAACTTCACTTGGCTGAATTTTGTAGAGGTGGTTGTCAACACTTATAGTCTACTAGTTTAAAGCCAGTAGAATTTAAAGGCTCTGGTCAGTCAATTCTCTCGCAAACATTGTCAGTGGCATTGCTGTTCCTTTCACTTAAGCCCTTCATGCAGGCATATGCATTAGATGCCTCCGTACTCGGAGTAAAAAACTGTTTTCCAGGATGCTTCACTGCTTTGTCTGACAAAGAGCAGGAAGGGAGAGAAATAAGGCGCAAAAAACCTTGCTGCTGCATTTTTTTTCGTTATTGTGGTGGCACTTACATACTCTTTATAGGTCTTTACTGTTGTCGAGACACTCCATATAAAGTCCATATTGACATCGTCGCTCCAAGCATTGTATGTTCTGCTGCATGCTAGAAAAGTGTGCTAGCTCTGGGGATGAGCGGGGGCTCAATCGGATATGAAAGGAGCCAGCCATCTTCATTGCACGAAGGGAACATCCCCTAGCATCGCCCCTTGTGCGAGGCCTGGCATTGACTGCTCGTCAAACCAAAAGAGAACACCCCGTGAAGGAGGGTTAAAGCGTTGGCATATACGTTAATTCCATTCTTTTTGCCTGTGATATTCATAGCACGGTCGCTTAGCTGTGACTTGATAAGCTTCCTGCTCAGAGGTTCTAGATATTGTTCTCTGTGGGCTCTGTCCTTATTTCGGTATATCAAGATGGTGATGTTCCTCAAAGCACTAACGGCATGTTCCACGGTGGTTTGTTTCCACTAGTCCACGGTGGTTTGTTTCCTTTGTTTGTTTCCACTAGTCAAGAACAATATCTTTAAACTTATTGAGGCTTATAGCAAGTGATAAAAGTTCCTTTGTTGAATACATCAGTCTTTCCTTGCCCTGATAGGCAATAGTCCATCCACAGGTGCATTTCTTTTCAGTTTCTCTATATCAATGCAGCCCTAACTCGGACTACGTGACCTCCAGTTAAAGCTAGGGTTGCCACCTCTGGATTGGGAAGCCATTAGGTCTGGTGCATTCTTACAGCCTATGCGTGACTGCCACTTGGAAAAGCATCATCTCTGGATAATTGATGTTTCAAATGTGAAGGATGATAACAGCTGTGGCCGCACTAAACGATTTTGAGTTCACACTCCTCTGCAATTATGGAAAAACAGCGCCAGTTCTCAGCATTTTCTTGCGTCTCGCAAAACACACTTCTCATGCTTATGGCATCGATACATCCTACCTTTCTCCAAAGAAAGCCAAATAGTGCCTCAGTTGGCTAACTAGAAAACGTGCCAGAACCAAAATTAACTTTTTTTTCACTCAGCAGGAGCCTGATAGACACAATGTTTGCCGTTGTGGTAAGCTTCGAGACAATATGTCTCCTTTCCCAAAAAACCGTCTGGGTGACTTTCATTGTCCTAACCTCATTGTGGTTGTCCACAAAAGTCTACTTGGGTCGCTCCAGTCCAGAGTCATTTGTATCGCTGAATAGGGATTGTTCTTACGGATGTGCGGCTTCGTGTTACCGTCATCGACAAGAACCGACCACTTGTGCACTTCTCCCATGGAATCGGTTGTGGTGGTGCTCACTGTTAGGAATTCATGCTTGCAGATGTGGCCAGCTTGTCTTTAGAGTACTGCAGGTGCAGCTGTGGCAGGTAGAGAGAAATTTGAGAAATTTGCACTGCATGCACGGCATTCATATTTTCTTTTGTGGAAACTTGAAAAAGCCCGAACGACAAAGATAAAAAAGGTACAACAAGACTGGCACTGAAACATATTTTTATTTTTCAATTTTGGTAAGATCTCCTCGGCCCAACCGTAGAGATCTCGGCACACCCGACCTTATTCCCTTAGCGTCAGCGTCCGCCATGCTTTCTTGTTCCTTAAACAGGGTGTCTAGCCCCATCTAGAAGACTTGTATAGTGCTGTAACAAGGGGAAAAATGAAGTGTACTTAGCCAGCTGCTACTAAAGTCATGTTTTTGGACTAATAAAAAGATTAAAGGAATCAGAAGCAATGCACATACAGTAAAGTATAGCTTACTGTATTAACAATACAATAGTATTATATGAGAAACACTGCTTTCGTGGCCGAGGTAGACTCGTGCACTTCTTGATTTAAAGTCAATAGTCATTGTGTTCATCATTTGCCCCAGTTGAGGCATTTTTATAGATTTGAAGAATAATTTGTGCAGTGTTGTACTGCAAAAAAAAAAAAAAATGAAAAGAGGAGAGAAGTACGAAAAAAAGAGAAAAAAAGGAGACTGTTACTGATGAACGAATTTCCACTTTATTATATTAAGTACTGTGCTAACTAATCATTAGGCAGAATGATGGGGGGAGTTTGGTGACTGACCCCCGAATGCAGAGATGTTACTTGGCTCGCGACTTCAACTTAACTTGAGCAAGTCGGCACGAAGCAAGCAGCGGACTTCAAAACGCCCAAGTCAGCCTTCGCGTTTCATAGATGCTCAGGCTGTCTTGCTTGGTCAAGTCAAGAACGAGCTTCAAAGCAGAAACACGCTGCTCGCCTGCTAACGAGGGTAATAATGAAGTTGTTCGCGTAAGGCACGCATTACACCAAAAAAAGACCATACGTTTTAAAATAACTATAAAAACGAAGGGCCACAAGCATATTCTTGCCATTTTACGGCTAACGAGCGGCACGTGGTGTCTGCCACCACAGCGATGCGCAGTGTTGCTTCTGTAAAGCGTTCGTTGCCCGCTGGTTTTAGTGGCCACCCAAATGCGGTGCGTTTCTCCATGGTTGCTTGTTTGGAGGAGAAACAAGCATCGCGTTGGGTTCTTTCGTCGTTTTTTTTTTCTTAATCGAACACCATGGCATGTATTTGTGCTGACCTGGCTCACGATGTGACGCGATTTTCACGGTATTTGCCTCTGTTCCCCGGTGTGCATGCCTGTAATGGGCTAGGTCGCAGTTATTATGAAAAAAAAAAAAAACAAGTTCTGGGAACAAATGTGATTCGTATCCTTTTGTTGAGCTTGGTAAACAAGAGAAAAAGCGGGGGTCAGGACATTGCCCTCAGCAGAATTCTGTCTCGCGGGGTGCAGCAATGTATCGCTGCATGATGGTGACGCGGATTAAAAAACCCGTGATAGGGGCACCTCTTTTTTGTGTGTGTGTAATTTTACGTAGCGCTGTGCTACAAGCGATGCCTTTCTGAGCGAGAAACAGCGCCCTAGACGGGACGAAAGGATATACGAGGCACACGGACACAGCACCGAGTCAATTTTTTTTTTTTTTACCGAAAGAGACGGAAAGTGTCGTCGTGTTATAGAAAAACAGAAATAGCCTTTGTGGTTACGGAACACTTCGGCGTTGTCGACACCGGGGCTATTAATACGCACGTGTGTGTAGTCGACACAACCTGTCACGCAAGGGAACTCGGCCACTTCATAACAGTCCGCCGGCTGCGGAAAGCGCACCAGCATCGCGTACAGGTGCTTTACGATGAGTAGCGTAACTTTTCCGACTGCACGGCACACTGTCGACTACGGAATGCGGACGAAATTTCCGGTGACTGGCTGGAATGTGCCAGCGCTGTAAAACCTGAGAGCCGTCAGTAGCTGTAACACTGGATGCACGGGCTGTCTTCGGTTGTCCCCACTTTCACGGAGCGGCAACATAACGAGCAGCTGCCCCACGGCGTTCTTCATGAATCTGTACCTAGCGTGGAATTGTTGCTCGTCGTACAACTCCATCGGATTTCCTCGGTCACTTAAAGCGGTTCCAAGAATCTTCGGCAGGCAGTGCGCCTCAAAAAATGCTACGCTTATGGCGAGGCAAGCAAACTCAAAAGCGGCCACCTTTCACGCGACGTCCATTCGAGAGGTGGCCATGTTGGAATAACGCGTGAAGTCGCTTTCAAGCAAGCCCCGCAGCTGACTTGAAACTTGTCCTGACTTCGACCGAGCCAAGTCGCCTTCAAGTCATCCGCAAGTTCGAGAACGATTTATGGCGACCGGCAAGACGGTCTTGAGTCAAGAACGAGTCAAGTACGAGTCAAGTAACATCTCTGCATTCGGGGGTGAGTATGGGGAGTTGACGCAGGCAAGAAAAGGGCAGCAAGATACCCCTGTCAATTGACTT